AGAAATACGTTTGTAGTATATTATTTAATATTATTATAAAAAAAAACTTTTACTTTATTTATCATATTTTATTTTCTTATTTTATTTACATTTTTCTTACATTATTAGAGTATCAAACATTGAGTATAGAAACACGTGTAAGCAGTATAACAAACAAAGATCTATTCTGTTATATGATAATGTTCGCATGTGAGATTCGACCTTCTAGCAAAATGACACAGTCATAAAACAAGGTGTTATAATGCCTACTCGCCAGAGCACCGTAATGAGCCGAGCAGAAAGATCTCTTAAGTAGGCGCGAAATAGCTCGTAAAATGCTACCAATGCGAGTACTAAATGTGAATACGGGCCTCAGCCTCGACATCGGCAACAACATCGGCATCGGCATCAGCATCGGCAATCGGCCCGGGGCGCTCTACATCGGCATAGGCATCGGCAACGGGCAGCAAACCGGAAAAAATCAAAGGCAAAACAATGATCAAAGCTGTCATTACAGATCTCGGGGCGGTCTTTGATCTGGCACCGCAATATGGCAGAGGCCGTGCATAGTTGAATGTTTTGTTTTTTATTTGATTTTTACTTTGTTCTATCAATCAGCGCCTACTACTTTGCGACGCGGCGCAGCAGGAGCCTGTCAGAGATAGGGTTTGAGTTTAGTTCTGGGCCCGGTCCGGCCCGGCCCGGGCTCGGCCATAAAAATGATCTTGAGAACTGGCATGCGTGTTCTTTTCATTTAATTTTCACGTAATAAAAACACATTAGCATCAACAACAATAACAAGCCCCGAGCACATTCAGGAACAGCCACGTTAATTCGGTTTAAAAATAAAATAGACGAAATAATTGTTGCCAGCATCTGAAATCGCATTTGATGGATGACTCGGTGGGCCAGGCGAGCCCCAGCACACACAAATCTATCGTGAACAGTTCGCCCAAATATTCATCGTTGAGTAAGAGCTCGAGCTGTGTGTGCTGTGTGCATTATCTCACCTAACATTTATATTCGGCGCATTGTGGATTTCCTGGAAGTAATGCGGAATTTACTCATCGATTTAGGTAAATTTTGTTTGATTGTGATTGATCTTTGATTGGCTTGATAGAGCTGTAAATAGACTCAACTGAGTGTTTGCCATGCCTGCAGCTGAGCTAAAACAATTCACACATTTGCTAGACCCCGAGTAAATAGGTGACTATTGCAGTGCCTTTGATAAATGAAGTTTATTTCCGTTCCTTTGAGTTGGTTTTAATGCCGCATTTCATATTATTCCCATGCCCTAATAGGCTTAGCAAACACCAGTCTATGGCTCTACTCCAAGTCACGGGAACTCGCCAAGTCACGTTGCTACCATCAGATGCACAAATAAAGGACACGAAACGTATGCAGTGTCGGCCTCTACCACAGCCTCTACCACAGGGTCTATCTCAGTCTCTCCCTTAGTCTCTACCACAGTCTCTATCTCAGCCTCTACCTCCCTCAGGCTGCCCTATCCGCTAGTCCGTTCCGGTCTTTGTCTGTTAATTTCACAAATTTTGTGGTCATTGGCAATTTTTTGTTTGGCTTGCGCTAGATTCAGGCGTCATCATAGACGCCAAACATGACATGCGAATTTCTGGGCTGTGTCCAAAACGAAAGTGATAAACGATATACATAGTAGCTAAGGCACAGTGAGAGGGAGGGAGATGGAGGTAGAGGGGTCTGACAGCTTGGCAGCCTGACACTTGGATATGCGCACAAATAACACTTAACACAATAACAAACAAACTTTTCGACTAATGACAGTCCAAGTAGCAAACAATTTATCCAATGCCAGGCAGCATGTCCTTTTTTGCGCCGTCTTCATGCAGAGTACAGCTCCGTTTGTTCGCTGCCAAGTCATTAATCTTATTTCGTTTTGGTCGTCCGACGGCAGGAGGCCAGTTCACACACACACACACAAAGTCCTCGCAGTCCTCGCAGCTCGACAGCAAGCGTCCGTCGTCTTTGCCCTCTTCCTCGTCCTCGTCCTCGTCGTCGTCGTTATCCTTTCAAGCGTGAACACATGCGATTACGCGTGGTGTGTGTGCCAGTTTCCGCATTTTCCTGTGCCAGGCGGCTGCCATGATTAAGTGCCATTTTGAAAAGTACTAAAATCCGGTCGGTCATGGCCCACACTTGGAGTCCCCAGTTGCTCGCCAATGTCAAAGTGTCAATGATATATGTTATACGCCTCGATAAGACGCTGAGCAGCTCCGCAGCACCGTCCACATCGTTTGGCATTAGCACCCGGCAACAGCAACCGGACTCCGGCCAAATCCTTGCCCGGAACCGAGAAATATTGCACGTGGACAAAGCCTGGCTGGCGAAATCAGTGCACGTTCACACAATAACATAATAGTTGGCAATATATTGTAGATTTTCCGTCTTTCTCTGCCCCTTGCTACGTACAGCGAGCATTTGTTCCGCTCCCTCACTCCCTCCCTGATTCACATCCTCCGCCTCCTCAGTGTCCGCTGTGCGCGTAATATTTCTTATTTTTCCGCATTTCTGTGGGTTTTCGTTTCGCCCTCGTCATTCGAACCGTTTGGCTAGCTTTACGTGTGAAATATTATTTGGCAATGACATGACACAATGTGCATTCGATTGTTTTCTCTATTTCCTCCCTCTTTTCTTGTTGCTGTTTCCTTCTCCTAGATTTCTTCCTTCTGGCACTTTGTCCGCATGGTTTATGAGTTCGGCACGCCATGCGAGTTATGACTCTCAGCCATGGGCTACTCATGCACCGGGCTTATGGCCAAAGCTCTGCTTTGCCAATGAATTATGAGAGAAGACAAGCTGTGCTCGTGTCCCCCAATGTATATCATCTTGATCAGTATCAATAGACGAGGAGTTAATGTGCATGCATCCGTCCGTCTAGCTGTCCGTCCCAATGTGAACTCTTTAATCAGATAGCATTCATGTTTTGTCGAAACAGTTCAATATATCTTGTATAAAAACTATTTGTATTTCATCTCATCTGTTTTTCTTTCCTCTCTCAAATTGATAGATGATTTTACCTTTATCTAATATATAAAATACCTTATAAACACAACTTTCGATAAGGTAAAGAGAGCAATTTTGTATATTAAATCTATTCTCTTAGTCAGTCTATTCATTACATAACTCAAATATTTAAGCATGGTAAATTCTAAATTGTATTTCCTATATGCGTAATCTTTCATTATATATGTACATACATATATCAAGCACATTATCGCGCCCATTACAAGCACAAACATATGTGGCGCTGTAATTGATATTGATACCACTGTAAATCAATCCACTCTGGACTATTTGCAACTTTGCCAAGAACAGCTGAAATACGATAAATTCATTAGCGAAAAATTTCAAAGTGATAAAGAAAAACAACAACAACAACGGCAGCAACAACAGCAGCAGCAGCAATCGCAGAGAAAAGAAAACAAGTCGAGGCGAACAGGAAACGCAGACATGGCCACAATATACAACAATTTACAACCTAAATCAAATGCAGTTGAATGACCAACACAGACGCCATAAATCAACGGCCAGTTGAGCCGCAGACGGACGCGGACGCGGACGCGGATACGGATGTGGCTGTGGCTGTGAATGTGGGTTGTGGAAACGTTGAGCACCATGTGCAGAGTCCGAGACATCCAATATTTTAGTAACTGCCGAGGGAGCCACTCACCCAATGCGATTCGAGGGCACGAGAGACGAAGGCCAAATGCAATATGTTATCAAATAAAAATGTTACAAGCGACGACAGAGCTCGGGAAGGGTGAGAGTGTGCGAGAGAGAGAGAGAGAGAGAGACAGGGAGAGAGGGCAAGGAAAAGGAAAAGAAATGTGTTGCACAAATTTATTAGAAACCCTAACTAACGAGCATATCCTGGGCGCAGGGAGCGGGGGTGCGTCAATATCGATGTGGGTCGGAAAATCCAAGTGATGTGTCAAATGTTAAGACATTACAAAGCACTAAAGGCAAGGACATGGCAATAGCAACAGGAAAACAAATCGAACGTGTGCCCAATGCCATCAATCTTTTGTTTTTATTGCCAGGCAGCGGCACGGACAGGGACATCAAACTCGTCTGACTGATGCTGTTGTTGTTGTTCACCTCTAGCCGAAGTCGTCCCGTTGAGCATTTCTTATGAACCAGGCCAGGACATGTGCGGCTGCCTGGCTGCCTGACTGCCTCCTGGCTGTGCTTGTTGTGTGCCCGACATTAACTCGACAGGATAACAAATCTGTTAAATGTGACAAACGAGCAGTGCGGTCTTTGACAGCCGTATAAGATGCTGGCAGCAGGCGGATCGACGGGTCGTCGGGCAGGCGGACAGGCGGACATCTTAGAGTCAAGTTTCCTGCCAATCTTCCCTGTTGTGAGAGTATGTGTCATTTTTCATTGACCTCTCGCTCTGCCTCTCTCTCTCTCAATCTCTCCCTCTCTCTCTCTCTCTCTCTCTCTCTCGCTCTCTCCCGCTCTCTTTATCGCCCTGCTGATGTCCTTCCAGTCAATTGCATAGGCGTGTAGGTGCGCTCGCAAGTGCCTAACGATGATTTCATGGTGGTCAAAGTGTAATAAATTTTTATTGTCGCCTATTATTGAGCGATAGTGAATACCTTTACCTTTAATTTATGGCCAGCAGCCCAGCTGGCTGCCTAACAACTTTCACAGATTCCCATTTCGAACTCTCCCCTAAAAATCTAGCTGTCCGCCTACCCACTATCTGTCCCAATGTCTCTCATTGTGTATGCGTGTCACAGGTTGCGGCCCAGGTCTGACCTTTTGGGTCCAGGCTTAGGTCCTGCTCCTGCTGCTCCTGCTCTTGGCCTGCCTGAATACACATATCCAGCTGCTTGAGCGCTCTTTCATGACAATTTTATTAACATGCTTTAGAGATCTGACCTCGTTCCCCTCTAGATAATGAAGGTGAAATGCATTATGCAATGGACTAGAAACATATCTTGACTGGTCAGACATATCAGGTAAAACCCTTGATATCGAGGCAAATCATTTATAAATTATATTTAAACATCAAAAAATACATAGAAACATATTTTTAATTTACTTAAAACAAAGGAAAAGCAAAGCCAGGAGATCCCGTGCCGGCCAGTGGCTAAAAATAAAGCAAATTCCACTGAAAATGAAAACTGTCATAATTTTAAATGTTCTGTGTCATGTTGCAGCGAGTGCAGACAGTTGGATTTAGTCTGGATTGTCTTACTTAGTTCGCAGTGCATTGTGAATTCCATTTGAAAGAGTTTTCCCTCAGCCTGACGAAAATAGCGACACGTCATGGTACATTTAAAATTGAGGAGGCGTTGGTGGCCCACGGGCAACCGAGCCTCGAGCCCCGAGCCCCGAGCCCCGAGCCCCGAGCACCGTGCACTGCTCTGCACGTCCCGCACCACGTGCCCCGCCCCTTGCCTTGGGCGCCGGCAGGCGTAGCCAACATTTTATGGGATTCAGGCAATACGCCGTCTGGCGTCGCCTTGGGGATTTTGCTTTCATGGCTTGCCTGCCAGATTGTACTTTGATTCCACACAAATATTCTCGTTGCGGGATTTATTATTGTTTATGAGGCGTCGCCAGAGTCAAAGCGAAAAGAATTGAAATGTGTTTGCACCGCGACGGGAATGAGCCATTACAAATGCCGCTCAAATAAATTGTGGCGTTTAGTGTGCAAAATAAATACACACATAAATTACTCTTGTCTACTAGCTACGGAAGCTCAAGCGCATTTACTCATCACGTTTTGAATTATATTCAAAGAAATAAAATAATAATTTATATTACACTAAATACTTTGATTTTTACTTCAATGAACTCGCTCACTCAACAATTTCTAATAGATAATATATTATCTTTGATACAAAACGTGGAAGAAAGTGAGAAAAAAGGAAGGATATGTATGAGTGGAAGAAAGAAACAAAGAAAGAATGATATGTAAAGAGTCTATGCAAAAAAAAATTGTGAATTTTGAAGAAATTGTTATTTAGGATGTTAGAATGACATTTTTCATAAGGCGAAATACAAATCAGATAGATCTAGTAAGAAAACACCATATCCGACTATATCTTTCAAAACCAAAAACTATCTGATATGACAAACCTTTTACAGAGGAAATCAAATCAGAACTTAACTATTTCTAAAACAAATGATATGAGAAGGGAAAAGACAGGTGATCAATAGGTGATCAGGTGATCAAAATAAGGAATAAAACAAGTTTTAAAAATTCAAATTAAAAAAGATTTTAGAAATTTAAATTCGAATTTTTAAATATCCTAATTAAAAGGGATTGATATGTTGTTTTAGTGTTTTATTTTATTTTATTTTATTTTATATTATTATATTTATTTATTTATATATATAATATTCTTAAAATAATAGCATAACTAAATATATATTTTGTATTTGTTGTAAAATCGATATGAGTGGGTAAGTAATTAGTTGTTAAAAAATGCCATTAGCCTAACTAAATATATATTTTATCCTTGCTTTAAAATCAAGATGGGTTCGTAAATAGAAAACTCTTTAAAAAAAAAGCTAAATCAATTTCCAATTTTCTCCAAAAGCAATGACAAAAGCCTCAATTATATAAAATATCCAAGTATCTCCTCCTGTTAAGTCTTCACTAATTTGATAAATTTGCTCCATCCCAAAGCGTGACTTGTTAAGGCATCTATTCCAAAACGCGCCTCTTTCTTCTTTTCATCTCAAATCGAGCAATGGAAACTCATCATGTTTCGAGAAGTCATAAAAGCGTATTCAGCACTTTATCAAATTCGATTTATTTCCATTTTGATTTCAATGCCCGTCCAAATGTATTTAACACAATAATTTTGTAACAATTTGCAATATGTTTCGTCGTGCGACCCGAATGGAAAATGTAGAGCCCCCGCACGCCGAGCGCCCTGACCCACGGGCACATTGATTTGTCGCCTGATTGTAAATTATGGCTTTGACCATTTTGTGTGGCTGCCAACATTTGAATGGGCATCGTTTTTCATGGCAGCGTCTTTATTCTTTCAGCCCCGTTGGCAGGCAGCGACCATTTTTCAGACCGGAAGTTGGCATTGTGTAATTGTTTATCTAAATGCTGGCAGTTGTCGGAGCGGAAATGTGGGCCTCTGATATGCCCAGTTGTTGATGGCCAGCACTTTTCGTAATAACTACGAACATTATCGCTGTCGCTCTTCTCTCTCTCTCTCTCTCTCTCTCTCTCTCACTTGCCAAATGATTTATGTGTCACTTTTAAATGTGGCGAAGGACTGGCTGTACGACATGATCAGTAATTGGATTATATTCAAGTAGATGGCAACCCGATATGCACAATATGCAATGCACTGAAATCGAGAGCGGGACACAGGCAACCAGGAAAGAGAAAGAAGATGAAAGCTGACTGCAATACAATATGGAAATTTGGCTCTATTGTCATTTTTATTGCCTTCACTAATGGTCTTTGGCTTGTCAGGCTAAATTATGGCTGGGCAAACACACACGCACGCACAATTGATATATAGTAGGTGCCAGGAGATGGTCACACAGCATTTTACAGTGCGAGGGCGGTCAAGGATAACTGCGCCTGCGACTGCGACCGAGCCGGAGGCAGAGGGCTGACCAGAAACAAAGGCTGGCTTGGTCCTGTTTTGCCTTGCAGGAGGCAGAAGTCAAACGAATTTATAATTTATTGCCCTCCATTTGTTGCAGTTGACCGTAAAGAAAACCAAGTCAAGCCAAGGTCTACCCATTGCACAGAATTATTGTTCTCATATGGTTTCTAGTTTGTCAGCAGCAGTCGAGCCGCTCGAGACAGCCAGCAGATGTACCATTTGCCAGCTTAAGTCTCGCTCACAGTTATCCTCCTCGCAGGGGCGATTCTCCTGCTGAGCGTGCCCAGAAATGCCCGCAATATTATTTGCCCTCACAAATCAAACGCTTAATTTAACGCAGCGAATCGAGAAATAAATGTATTGCTAGAAATGTCATGGAAAATCTTGGAAAATTCAAATAAACATGCGACTTTAAAGCATTTATTTATTTTATGTGGAGAGAGAAAAACAAAAAACAAATTTTACAGCTTCCTTAAATACAAATTGAAGTTGCTTAAAATATATTTTCTTTGAGGTTAATAATATAATGTAGATATTTTTCTTGTACTCAAATATCTTAAACACAAATTTGATTAAAAAAAATAAATAAATAAAATAAAACACAATTTCATTTCACTTTCTGTCTAAATTAATGTGTCAAATAATTAAATTATATTTATTATCAGTTCACTCTATAATTTATTTATTTCATTTATTTAATATGTAATTGACTTTAGAGCCAATGAAAATAAATCTAGGTATTTAAATTTTATTTTGAGGCATTTTATAAAAATCAATTTCAAAAGAAATAATAATTCTTCTGTTAAAATTTTATTTTAAAAAATCGTCCAGCACCCACTTCACTTATTACTAAAAAAATGTTATGCTTCAGTATGAAAATAAGTAGAAAGTCCATATATAAGATAAATAAAATTTAAAAAATAATCGAAGAAGCCTTCTTCTGCATTTACCTATAGCAATGCTATATTCTATCAATTGAAATGGCTTCGATTCTGAGCGCCTTTTCCTCTTTAATCTGTACGCCGTAAGCGACTTAGGTCGATTGTCACTGTGCGCATTATTCACGTCTCGGATCAGAGTCGCTGGCTTATGGCTTAGTGGGGGTACTTGTAGGGTTTTACCGCTAATTACACATGATACGCAAATTGAGTACACATTTCAGGCTAAACAGCTCATTTAATACGGCTTAGCAAGGTCTGCAGCCGAGGCAGCCATTGGCCGCCAATTCACGACGAGCATGTGTAACAGCTGAGAGGAGTCTATAATTTGAAGAGCACTCTGTATAATTTTCATTTATCACCTTTGCCTTTGAGAACTCAGAGCCTAACGAAAACAAAAAACAGACCCGCAATTAAAAGTCAATTAGGCTGAGGCAATTTGAAGCAGCTGACGGAGGAAGCACACATTGCTAATTGTTGGTTAGACATGATGAGTGTCATGTTGGTACGGCCCTCAACTGTGCATTCGAAACGGCTGACCTACAATCAAGAAAAAAACTACAACAACAGCAACAACAATTACAACGACAAAACGAACAAACCTTTTTTAGCACCTTGCAGTTGTCAAACAATGAATGCTAACAAACCGGATTCTTCACACGAATTGGCAACGAAACTTGTATGCTCTACCTTGTTAGTTGAGCGTAATTGGTGTGAGCCAAGCTTGAATTATATGACTTATAGATATAATTAAAGAAAAAGCATATATAAATACTCCCTTCATATATTTAACTAGTCTAAGTATTGCTCACATTAGATCTATGATTATATTTGTTCCTCTATATAGCAGTTCTTCCTTTCCTCTTATTGTTTCATATTCTTTGAAGTGCATCATAATTGACGCTACAAACTCAAAGTCATCTACAATTAGAATGCCAAAGTGTGAACTCAACGCCTCGCTATGGAACTGCCTGCCAACGCCTCCTTTTCGCCACAGGAAGCCGGTGCTAAGTCGTGTGGGTGTAACCAGAGCCGGACCTGACCATACGGGAACACTCAGAGCCGAGCAGGATTAGGCCGTGGGTAGCAGGGCACTTGTGAGAGAAGCAGGATGAGCTACGATAGTGTCGGAAGTTCAGCTGAACTCTGAACTGTGAGCAAGTCGAGTGCTGTCAAGGGTCTATCGACTTCAGGCGGTGTCGCTGTCGTTGTCAGCTTAAAAAACTGTTGGGCACACATGCATGCCTCTGCGGAGGATTGTAGCACATTGGGCCGTTGGCTTTTCGGGCCGTAAGTGAATAAAAATGCGCGCCAAGATTCAGTCAAGCGCATTAAGTATTTAAGCACTCAGCATACTCGGCAGACGGTGCAAGTATATATCACGTTGCCAGGGCTCGTGTTAATCGCAATGGAACTCACTCCAGGCCACTTGGTGCTTTGGCGTTTGGCATTTGGCATTTGCATCGGCGAGTCGCTTGCTTAGCATTTTTCCGCAACAGCGGATACACTTTGAGGTAGCTTTTCCGCTAATGAACGCATTAGGCTAGCCCCATTCCATACCGCACTACTTACACCGTGTTCTCGGCTTAGTTCTCTTTTATGTACTTCGCCTCGGGCTGCGTTTATTTTATTAAGTACTTAACATGGGCCGCTCTTCTCCAGCCTTAGCCGTCGACATATTTAGGTACACTTTGGCTACAATTAGAGACATGCTACAGCTATGTGCAGGTACGCTGAATTACACAACGTTTGAGGCTAAGCGGATTTTGTAATTATCCGACTCTGAAAGGCAGGCTTAGGCAACCAAATGCAACGGCCTCCCTGTGCTAGATCTAGCTGTTGATTCCGATGGCCTCTCAAGGGTTGCCCACAAATGCTGGCATAATTGTCGCCCTCACGAAATGCTCCCTAATAATACATAAGGCTGTGAGTGGGTTTGCACACATTTTCCTATATGACTCAATGAGAAAAAGTTGCAAATATACTTGATTTTAGATACAAAGTTGCACTTAGATGAAAATACCTGAAGCCATATTCAAGCGAAAAAGTAGAGCTAGAGTAAGATTCTCTTTGTATTAATTAAATAAATATTAAACAATCCCCATTAGTTTATACTACTTATTGGATTGTATTTTAAATACTTAACGTTGAAAAATAAAATGAAGTTCTCAAAAGGCATTAATGATATAAATCAAATATATGTAGAGTATCTTCTAGTAGATGAAAGACCTCCAACTTTATTACAAATATACACAGATCAAGGCATGATGAAAAGACAAGATTTCAGACCTGGAACAAACATAAATTGGCACATATGAACATATTTTAAAAATTCTAAAGATTGTTTAAAATATATATAGTTAACATTTATTTGGATAAACATACAAATAACTTTATGGATGAGTACTTAATATTATCTATTTGATTTTTAGCAAATATTTTAGCAATTTCATAACTTTGACA